GAGGTCAGTCAAGATGCACATTGGCTGTTCTCATTCTTCAATGTTACACTCAACCCCACCTTTACCTATGAAGAGGGTAAAGGGAAGGAAAAGAATTAGGAAGATGAAAACAAAAGGAACTTGCTTTTTGAAAGTTAGCCATCAATGATCCATCCACAGTCTATATCCATGTTTGTAGGATGACTGCATTCAGAGAACATTTGAGTGCTGCAGTCAGAGAGAAGTACTAACCTGGGCTAGTTAGGGGAGTAAGAAAAGTGAACCTACAGTGGCACAGACCTAACCTCTACCTAAGCCTTGGTATTACCAGTGGCAGTGTGCTGTTTATAGCACAGCCTTTTGTTGCTACATCTTCACTGTTCTTAGTATTCAGTCTAGGTATGTCAGAGTTGCGTTCAAATATTTCGTTTTCAAAAGAAGCACAACCAGTCAATGAGACTACTTCCATGCATGCAGGTTACACAAGATTTATACTTGCTATATCCTGTTAGAATATATATTTTGGTTTTACAGATTGTTTGGACTATCCTGCAAATCAGTTGCAACTTCCCTATTTAAAGATTAGTGAGCACAATATGAAGCACTACTGCTGCAGTTAGCTCTGCTATTTTTAGCTATGGCACTACAGCCTTTTTCTTTTAGAAAAGAATTTTACTTCACTATTAACAAATGAAACAAACTAATGTGGGATACATTATCAAGTTGCCGAAGGTTAGTCTTTCTTCATGTCGTGCTTGTGAGTGACTGTGCTGCACTAATTAAAAACATTGCCATGGCAATTGCTATAGAAACATTTAAATTGGCATCATTGCTAACAAATCCCTGTTATTGATCCCAGCAGGGCTTATTTCACACTACACCTGAAGAATCTAAATAGAATATTTTACATTCAAAAGGACTTCAAAAGATGTATTTTTTCCAGTTGCTAATGTGCTCAGGAGAATAATGTTTTTCATACAGAGGTAATTCATTTACCTGGAACTGTTGTAGGATTCTGATATCAGAGTCCTTACTGCAAGGAGAGACTGTAATAGTTCTAGCCTACCACCACAGATCCCTCAAACCGTAAAAATAAAAAAAAAAAGTTTATTGCCTCCACTCAGATCCTCTGATTTTCAAAGTGGGGAAAGAACACAGATTCTCTACAATTTAGGGCATTAAAATGTTTAATACACAAGTACCTAATCTTAAAGGAAGTTTCCAATGCAACAATGAAGAAAATAATTTTCCATTGTTTGACAAGAACAATAAATTGGCTGTTGTATTGAGTAAATGGTGGAAGAAAAATGAAGCAAGAGAGACTGAATATATAATTTTGATCAGTTAGTTGAACAAAACCCATTAAAATTATTCTCTCTGGTTTCAGACTTAAGATCTTTATATATTTACCATAATGTTCAGTAGATCTGGACAGATCCAGACTAATAACTCTCTGTACACCTAGTACATCCAACTATTGTAACAATCAAAAGAGGGAAACAATGGGCTACATCTTTTTTCTTTACTTTCTTTCTTTTTTCTCTTTTAAATAATTCCAAAAACCGGGTTTTACCCTTCTTGACCTTTCAGCAATAGCAAAGTCCTTCTGCTAATTAGCAAGGACTTCAGTAGAGGGCAGCACTACACAGAAAACAACCTGAGATTAAGTTCTGCCCTGGCTGGAATAAAATGTGGTAACCTAGACTCCTCTGAGAAAAAATTTGTAAAAAATTGGTGTTTGCACAGAAATAATTTCTCATAGCACGATCAGAGCATCTGTGCACAGTGTACTGTGGTCACTTGAACAGCTGCTCTTACTTTTCCAGGCTAGACCAGAATCCTTTGTTCTACTACTAAACTACACCTTCTGAGTCTACCAAACACAACTCCTGAGCCACTTGAACAGCTGACTACAAGATAAGATGCATAAGCCAATGACCACCTCGAAGTATTTCTTTGAGTACAAAGAAAAGAGTAGCATAAACATCTTATGTGTTTGAAGGAGTATGGCAAACAGTATTTGCACAGAAAGGAATGAGGGCAATTTCAGGAAATCAAATATTTCTAGTTTTGAAAAAACAAAAGTGAAGCTTTTGAAATTGTATTTCCATTTGAAATTATTGCAAAACTGAACATGAAATCACACGTCTCCAAATGGCCAAATGAAAATATATTGATGTCCCCTATCCTTCTCCCTGTTTCAAAAAAAGAGTAAAAATAAACCAGACTAATCATCTGTTAGATTTGTCTAAGTTTCGAAACAAGGATATTTTGAAGAGAAAATTTAAACTGTTTGACATTTTTTGATAATTTATTTTTTCCAGCAGTCTTCCAAGGCTTAGAGTTTTTGCAAAATATATTTTTAGGATGATTAGTAGTTTCATAAATTTACTATGTGTTAAAATTTTGCTAAATACTTATGTAGTTTTCAGGGCTTTTTGTTTGTTTGTTTAATGGTTTGTTTTGTTTTAACACAGATCTGACATGTTCCAAGAAATTAGAGAAACAAATCAGTCATGACCTTAAATATATAAAAACATAAAATATATCAGAATAGTTAATAACAACATATCACTCAAATGCAAAACCAAAGCAATCAAATCCCGAATTTGATCAATATTTGAACATGTTAGTGTTCAGAAGGTATGCAAGTTGAATTCTTGAACTACAGTCTAACAAAAAGTTCTGTAATGCAGCTGTCAAAGACCACTATTTGAGGACACATCAAGCAAGAGTATCTCAAGAAGAGATAACAGACTTTGGAACCATTGGATAAACTCAATAATCTGCGTTTTGAGTACAGTATTTTCAAAAATAGTTCCTGTTGTTATTTACTTTCATTTTACAATACCTTAGGCAGGATTGGATTTATAAAGTCTGAAAAGGCCCTGCAGTCTGCCTCAGATGGTGCAGTGGGCTGGATTTGAGGATCTGGATGATCATGTCTTATGCTCTACATTGATAAACAGTTTTATTCAGAGACAAAAACTAGTTCGGTCTATATTACACAGGGAATTAGAATCATCAAATTGAGATGTGGTTAAAAAGTTGGCTGAGTTTTTTTTTTCTTTTGATCTGTATACAGTAAGTTTCAATCACAAGACAAGATCATCATGTACAGAACATGTTTTCCCATTAATGTCAAAATTTACTGGTATTAAATTAGTCACAGGAGACTTTGACCTTCTTCATGCAACAGGAACATACGAGCATTACAAGGAAGAAAAAAGGTTTTCAAGTATACTTACAGAATTAAAAAAAAATACAGCCACTAGTGTATGCCAAGATCTATGTACATTCATGATTTTATGCAAATAGTTAATTTACTTTGTGCTTTGATTCTTCAATTAAAATAAAGAAGTAGAAGAAAATAAGAGTTTTCCTGCATTATATCCGTGATCTGCTGCGTAAATTTGACACCTATTAAATTGTTTTCTTTTTTGTTTTTGAACATGATGTTAGAAAGTGATAAATATTCCAAGCCTTCACTTCTTGCTCAGCTAAAACTCTGTTTGAAGTTACTAAATTGCTAAGACTTTGATCCTCTTTCAGGATTACTAGTTAAGATCCTGAGACCATACAGGATATCATCATTTTAAGGAAAACTTCACACCAGGGCACAATTCTATCAATTTAATCATTAAGACCTTTAGAGTACAATTCACTAAATGTTTTCTGTTAAACAGTTTTGGTTCTCAACTGACTAATAAGTTTCACAAAAAGCACCTTATTTCAAAAAAATTCTATCTTTTAATACAGGAAAAGATTTCCTTCCCCTCCCCTAAAAAAAACCAAAGTGAAAGTAGCTTCTGGTAATGCTGGGTTGTGGGAGAAAGGAGGATAGGTATGTATATTTTTTTAAAAAATTTTGAAAATTTCAGTACTCTAAAATTTCTGGGTGTGTGTCTTGATCCTATTGTTACGGTTCATGGACTAGGAGTCCCAGAGCAAATAATACTTTTGGTGTTGAGTTGTTTTCCTCTGCTTTCTGTAATATACAATGATAGTTCAGCTAAAGATATCCTAAAGCAAAAACAGACTTGACAGGAAACCTAGATTAAGGAAGACTGGGACACCAGGCACCTTAGTTGTACTGCTGAATAAAAAGTATAGACGGGAAAAAAAAAAAAAAAGTTTGGGTTTGATTAAATGTTGTTTACAAACTTCTACACAATACATCAGTTCCAGTTTCAGGAAAATAATAATAACGATAAGATTCTACATCATGAAATTTCCCATTCATTCAAGAGGAGAAAAAACCAAAATACTTTCCAAATGCAGAATTTTGCTAACCCCAGCAGGATTCTGGTGAACTGAAACTTACCTAAAAAGTATCTTTTCTCTATTGAATAAGGAATCCGTTGAAGGCATCAAAAATACTTTAAATTTCATCTTATGAGTTCCTTTATGCAGAAATGGACAATAGGGGGCTAGCAAAGGCGACGAAGGGGCTGATGTAGTACATGAAGTAACAGGAAATTCAGGTTTGCAGGCAATTCTGAGTAGATGGTGAGAGAGGATAGCATCAGGTTGTGCCAGGAGAGTCTAGGTTGGAAGGTTTCTTACTATTCGGGCTGTTTCATTGGGTTAGGATTCTGCTGGTAGCTAAAGCTTTCAGATGAAGAAGTATTTTACTCAGATTTAGATTGTGTTTTAAATTAACTACAATAATTAATTACAAACACTTAGATTGTGTTTTAAATTAACGTCTATACACAGTGTGAGAAAGTGAAATAGAAGAAAATGAAGGAGACATTGAAGTCCTTGACTTAAAACTCTCTGAGTAACTTCTGGTTATATGTATGGTTACATGTAATTTCCATGAGTTACTGTCATGATCAGTAGGATACTGGTATTCTTGTTTCCCTAAGGTTGTGGCCTTAAGGAAACAAAATTATTGCAACTGACTCAAATACTTTTCTCCATCCTATAGGTCATACACAGAAGTGGAATATAACTTTTGAAAATTTTGTTCTGGTGAATTATTAGAGGAGTGGAGGCTAACAGCACCTCTGCAAATGATGAGGACTTACTCCTTCTTGACAGTTTTGCTTTGTGGCTGTATGTTTCATGCGGTTCATATGATGCCATCCCAAAAAAGAACTAACAAGAACTCACTCAGTGAAAGGATAACAGGATTGTCAGAGAATGATGGAAAAACACTGCACCGCACCAAGCGTGGTTGGATGTGGAATCAATTTTTCTTGCTGGAGGAATACACAGGTCCAGATACTCAATACGTGGGCAAGGTAAGACTTGTGTTTAAAGGATTCTTTAAACCTGATGAATCTGACACCCTTGGTATTTTCCCTCCTTCTCCACAATTGTTTTGCTTTTTATACAGAAATGGTCCCAATTTAAGTCAAAAAAAGCATGTCATGGAACACCTGAGGCTTCCATGATTGTTCAAAGTTGTAGGAGAAATGAACTAGTTTAGTAAAAAAAAAAAAATACGCTGTTCAATCTAAAATGTTTCCATTTCTTATTATACATGCCCATGCAAGTTTTATCACTGAATCATGTCCAGTTTTCAACTGTTAAACATAAATACTAGGTAAGGAAATAGAGGAGTTACGCCTTCGTTCATCTAACTCGTGGCATTTGCTGGTATACTGAGATGTGTACTTCATCAAGTGAAACAGAATTCTATCTATATTAATAAAATTGCTGTCTGTTCACAATTCCAAGTATGGAAAAAGTGTTTGAGGAGAAAAAAATCTGATTTTCGTCATTTCTGCAATACACTGAGATCTTTACTTAATGGCTTGAAAGACTTTCCATTCTTCGAGACCTATCTACAACAGCTATTTCCAACAACAGCTATTTATTTCCAACAACAGCTATTTATTTCCAACAACAGCTGTTTCCAACAAGAGCTGTTTCCAACAACAGCACCTCTGAATTCCAGCTGTCTGCAGCCTAACCTTTTCTGGCAAGACAAAGCTCAAAGATTTCCAGATTTTTAGCCCTTTGTGGTATCTCACCATCCACAGACCTGCCTTGTGGTTTGGTGTAAGTAAACAATCTTGGCAGAAACCTAGAATACACACAGCAACCTCCCAGAATGACTTACAAATTAAGGAAATATTTATCTTATTATTTTAAGTTAATAAATGCCGATTCTGTCTTCTGTGATTCATCCACAATGCTGTCACTAGCTCAGACTGTTAGGTAGCTCTCTCACTTTCTAGTGCTTAACTATCAAGTGGATTGAGACATTTTTAATTAAAAGACCCCCAAATGTTTTTGGACATTTTCTAATATCTCTGGTTGTGGGAGGCATGATCATCTGGAAAATATGGAAATCATCTCTTTTTATTATGAAAAAAATGTCAAAGAAGCCAGCCACAGTATGAACTTGATTCTGACCTCATCTATACCAACATTACACTCATACAATTCTGCTTTCAGCAAAATTAATTCTGATTTGCAGTAGCAGAAGTAAGATGAGAATGAATAATGCTATTGCTAGATCTATTTATCAGCATGTAGAACAGGAAGGTTTGTTGTAGGCAAAGAGATCTTCAATAATGAGTGTTCACCTGTATAGAGACATTTCTAAAAAAATATGTGTTGGAAGTATTTTTTAGTATTGAGTAACTTGCAAAGAAAACATACAGTAAGGCACACAATAATACGGATGTCCATAGCCATAGATTCTACCTAGACTCACAGAAATATTTTTTTGTAAAAATAGAAAGCTGTCATAGAGGAGAAGTAAAACATGAGCTGATTCCAGTTTCAGCCCCACTGCTGTAGATGAATGGACGCCAAACCGTCTGTGCTATTATAAACCTCAAATAAATTAAGTTTACATCAAGACCGTCATCACCATCTCTGTTTCACAAAAGGAATGCCTACATGATATATTGCAACAGCCGAAACATACTCAGCACGTATTCCAAACTAACTAAAAGCCATTGGGCCTTATTACCATAGAGTTAAGTCCAGGAAGGAAAACAAATGGCTGTACAGCAGTTGGATCTGAAATTATTAATTTCTTACAACTCAGATAACAGGTTGATATTTTTCACATTTCACTGCAAAATACTGTACAGAGGCCCTGAGGGAGAGGTCAGCATTATTGATTCTCAGATGGAGATGGAAATCACCCCAGATACTATCCCATGTTCACAAGAGATGAGGTTGGATTGAAGTGATAAACTCCATGTGGTTGCATTAACTTTAGAACAGTTTATGACATGACAAAATGATCATAAAACCATAGTAAATCCATTTGAGTTAGTTCAAATTATCAAGTACATGTGACATACAGCACCAAGAGTGAGCTGCTACAACAAGTCAAGTAAGGAATTTCTTTCTTTTTTTAAAAAAAGCAACAACTTCTTGGAACAATATTATTCTGAGAAAGGCTTAAATCTCAGGTTTAGTATTCTCCTGCTCAAAGTGATGGTAATTAGCAAACTGATATGTGTGAAGAGAGAGCACTTTCATTCCAACCCATGGGGACTAGTTCATAGCAAGTATTCTTATCCAGTTCTCTTTAATATGGGTATGCACAGACAGATGGATTACTGGGGTAGAATAATAAATGTTGTATTAAAAATTAAATAAACTGAATGAAACTTTATTAGAAAATAAACTTCCAAGGGATCATAGCCATAATACTAAAAAATTAGTTTTCTTACCCTAGTTTGATTTTCAAACAATTTTAATTTGTTATGTTATTGTTTGTGCTTTGTTAGTGGTGCTGCTTTGTTGATGCTTTATCTTGTTCTGAGTGCATTCTGCTATTTGCAGTGGGGTAGGATCACTCAGTATGACACAAAGGGATAAGATTTATTTACTAAGGACGGGTACATGGGATGGACAGCTATTCTGTGAAATCCACACACATCTCACTCCCACCACTCAGCCCCCCCAGCCCAGTTTATAAGAGCAGAAGGGACCCAGAGGAACCAGACACTTGCTTTGACTGCTGGACTGTTCAAGCCCTGGCTAGCAATATGGCCCCTACGAGGGCACTTCTACCTTGTGCTCAGGCCCCACTTGGTGTCAGAGGTCCCTGGAGGGAGGGGTTTCTCCCCCATATCTGAGGTGTTACCATCTTAAGCAGTGTTTTTTAAAATTGTGTTGCCAGCAGCCAATAGCCTCACTAGCCAAGTAGCCCCAGGACTATCTCTTTCCCAATATCTAAGGCCAAATAGCCATTGTTACTGGGGACACTCTCACCCTCTGGTCTCTTTCACAAACATCTTCCAAGAATGGCAAGTGGTTAGCTCCATCATCCCTGATTTTTTGTTTATCTCCTGCACACACCAGACTAATCTAAGCAGTTAGAGCTGGCAGATGCAATCAAGGACTCATTTATTTGAGTGATTTTGTGTGTAGGCTTCATCCTGTGACAAGAAGTAACTAAAAAAGAGGTCTGGTGTACTTGTAGCGTAGATGAAAAACCCAGCTCCACGCAAACCTGGTGCATGGCTCCCAATACTGCTAACAGGGGTAACACAGTGTTAATGGACTAGAACAGAGCTTCAGTTTCTGATTATAGTTTTACAGCTTTTAGACAAAAGCAGTGGTAGTGATTATTGTCTACATTTATTTAGCCTGTACCCAAGGATAAACTGTAACAGTTGCTCTATCACACAATGAACACTCACCAACCAGGAAGGGGAATCAGGAAAAAGGAGAGCAGTAGCACAGGTTGAAGTGAAAGAGATTTCATGAAAAGTATTATTGTACCTGCAACAATGCAAGAAGTGCTTATGACATCCTTCGATTTCTTATCCTTTTAAAATCTATTCAGGATATGCTTGGAGAAACCAGTGGCTCCTCCATGGTAGATGTTGTATAAAAAATGCATAGGGAAATAAACTTTGCTCTGGAGAGTTTGCAGCTGAAATATTCAGTCAGACACAGGTAAGGCAAGCAGTATCAGAGAGTCCTATTTAAAAATTTGGCCAAGAAAAAAAAAATTCTATGACAATAAAATGGCCTTATTCTTTCAAGATGCCTGCTACCTAGTGTGAGTGTTGAATATGTCAATGAGAACATCAGTGTAAGGTATTTTCAAAGGATGTAGTGAGGGGAACTGTAAAACTCATTCTGCCTACTAAGAATTCACAAAAAAAGAAAAAGTAGATTACAAGGTAACATTCAGAGTTAAATGTATGAAAGAAGTTTCTTTTTTTTAAGGGAAAAGAAACAACTGACAATTTTTGTGAAATATGAAGGGACTGAGAAAATAAAACACTTGACTGTATGTCATACTGTGACATTCCTTGATTTCTGGGATCACCTTTTCTTTTACTAGGGAGGGTCTATACATCCAAGTTCTTAGCTGATACTAACTTCAAGCCTCATGCAGAACCTAAGAAATTAAATCTGAAATACTGACCTTCTATGAGAAAAGTCTATCAAATTTACTCACTTCCTAAACAAACAATCCAAAGATATAATAATCTAAAGAAAATAGGACATGCAATTTAGGAAGTATTAAAATGTTGATGAGGATGTTGTTCATTAATTAAAGTAAAAACTAATAAAATGCACAGAAGGCTCTAAAAAAGTAGCTCTTTAGGGATAATTAGTTTTATTTTCCAAAGCTAATACTGATTTTATGTGTCTCCATTTCTAAATAATTTGCCTAATACCTACTGAGAAGGCATCAGTTGTGCAAAATGCCAAATATCCCACCTCTTCAACTCCAGACCTTAAGAAATAGCCCTAGGCGGGAGAAAATAGGCCTGATCAAAATCATCAACCATTTTGGAAAATGCAGTCCTTTATGCTTTGCGACAATGTACTTAAGTGATTTCAAGACACAAGAGATTTTCCCTCCTTTAAGTCACTCAATTACATTTTTTACACGAAAGCTAGTCTCTCCCTGTATCTAACAGGCACTTTACTAATGAAAGGCTGCTAATCTTGATGGGCAGATAATGTGTGAAGATCCATGCAATGTATGTTAGACCCAATCATAAACTGTACAATCAATCACCCGTCATATCCCAGAATTTAAAAACAATAAAAAAAAGAACATTTTTCTATACCACCTGCAACCTTTCTTTTCCATATTAAGGGGGGAATTACACAATAATATAAATGACACTACTCAAAATTAGATGCTCCATGAATAACCTCCTGTTTAATAACTTCCATAAAAATAAATGAACTAGGCTTTGTATGTCATAAGCACCACATAAATTGGATGCAAACTGAAGAAAAATCTCTGTTCTACCTTTAGTTAACCACTGAGTTTGATTCATGACATTTGTCTGTGTGT